GAGGAGAAGCCTTCTCTCTCTCTCTCTCTCTCCGAGGAGGCAGTCTAGTTCCCACCACGTGATGAATTCACATACAGGCCTACCTGACCTGTGACTTTGGTGATTCCCTCGTCTCTTTGCCCCCCTGCCCTCCCCTGGACCCGCTGCTGGTGGTAGTATATTATTTGGTTTCCACGCAGGAACTGATGCAGGGTGCGACGTTTGCTTACAAGTGTAAGCCACATAAGGACAACATCCGCAAATGGCCAAAAATGTTGCAGGTTGTTACTTTGACGACATTTTCCGGCCGCTCTTTGAAATCTGGGGGAAAGTCCGTCGTGTGCAAAGTATGCACATTTTGATTCTGCCTGTTCAATAAAATCGCATGGAGTGTCATTGGCACTTTGTTAAGCGAAAGATTTGTGGGTTGCATTACATATTCGAAGTAACTTTAGGCTTGCAAAACCTGTACATCAGTCGCGTTTGCATCCAGTACGAGCTTTTCGCGGCTCAGTCATTCATTCCCGCTGGACAAGCAAAGTCGACGGTATTTACCAGGGGCGCGGATCGCTTTCTGGACGCAATGCTTGTCGTTTCTTGTTTTTTGCACGAGATGCGTTGATTAATACATCACTTCAGCGAGATGTGAGTTATCTCTGGAAAAGGCTGCCATTTCATCACTCCGCTGTTTCGTATGGTGCGGTCATTCAGCAGAATATCTCTGATGCGCATGGTAGTTGGTCATTAACTACACTGTTCAATGTTCGATCCTGACGACTTGTCCCATGCTCTTGTACTACCCATTATATGCATGAGTGCATTTTTAGTGATGCACGATGTCTCAAGCATGGTTACGTTGCCACTACAACATCCCTGACCGTGCGAATTGTCAATGACGAAAAGCATGTGAAAAGAACTGCGGCTGCGCAATGCTGTTGACGGCCGTTGCCCTTCAAAAAGTCTCGTGGAAAAGTTTCAAAAGAAAGGTAGAGAAAGCGAGTGCTACAAATATGCCACGATCAACGCATTTCAGTTCAATGACACAAATGTGCAGATACCATATGCTCGATCATTGATATCATATCACGGCTCGCAACGACCAGAGGTAAACCATGCGACTCACAAAGACCGAGGAACTTCGTCTCACAAGGATGCGACTCACAAAGACCGAAAGCGTCGGAAAGAAGTATGCTGACGCGCTTGCCTTTCGCTGTTCTTTGACAACTTACTGGCTAAAGTTATCCGGAAAAACTGATTTTTTATCTTGCACATTTTGCACTACCTATATGCGCCTTATGCCCTCTGACACAGCTTTTCTGAGCGAAGGGAATCTTGCTTTACGCATTCCATTTGCAAGGGTTCATACTGCCCGGCGTGGTTTGTTGGTACGCAGCCTACGCTGAAAAATTTGACGTTTTAATTATAGTATGTTCTGTCTCTGATAGACTCCACGTGACCAGAGCCGCTTTCAGGTCATAGAAAAGGTTCCCGCTTGCTCCGCTGTGCGACAGGGTGACGCTGCTAGCGTTGGTAGCTCCGCCGCCAATGACTTAACGTCAACTTGGGTCTTTATAATATGACGTGGATCGCCATTAACACAGGCATATAGCCAAAATTATTCTCAGAGGGAACAACGCACTTTGACCGCTGTGGAATGACCTAGTCCCTGGTGTAAACACCGCGACGCATGGGGGCCATGGCTCACATGCCCCGTCCCTTAGCTATGTTCATAAGCTAGCATTTATAAACTGTTAGCATTCAGGGCTCACTTCTTCCCACTGGCCGAGCACCGATCTTGTAGGCGCTAAACTCGTCCATGTTCGAGCCTTGCGTCACCTTGGCTCTCGCATAGCTTGTTTCTCCTACATATGCGCAACTTGTGTTCCCAACGTCACAGTATCGGTACATGTACTTGTGTTGATATCGGTGTCGGTATCGGTATCGATACCGGCATTTTTTTATTTCTCCCACATACCACGAAGATACGATGGTTTTTAAAAATTGCAGTTTCATTTTGCTTGACTTCAAATAAGGCTACTTCACGTCCATAACTCTGGTGCAGATGATGTTAAGCAGCGAACCACGTGCCACTTTTGGGGCGACTACTGGTTGTTTACCATGGACACATGTATCTGCGAGGAAATAGCGATGCTATGTGATCACTGTTTGGTTTTTACGGGAACTGGAGCGAGAGGCCCTGTGCAGGGTGTGCTCTGAGAGTGACCTGCAGAGGAAAGACGCGCAACCAATCAAAAGCGACGCCAGCAGCTCAGAGGCACAGGCGTGTCGAGGAGTCAGCACAGGAGAGACTGCTTGACCTGTTTGCCCGGCTTCACTCACCAGCCACTGCTCTTGAAACACTCAAGATGCAGCTGCAGGACGAGCATGGCAGTGACTACGTCTTTGTCGCGGCCGATCACTCCGTCGTGCCTGAAACACGCTTCGTGTACAGATTAGTTAGCGCAAGGTATCACGAAAGTCAACAGGATTTTCTGAAAAAGATGGGATGCGAAAAACTTTCATTAGTCCAGTTTTGTCATGTAACTTAACGGTCCTAACATGAATATTCTAAAATGATGGGGATGCGACAGCATCACATAAAACAACGAATCCTATTGCAGCGACTGTTAACAATGCGAGCGCATAAAACAACGAAGCTGCAACAAGGATCACAACTGCAAGTGAACGGTTGGCTGCAACGTGCAACTGCTTCCTGTCATGGTTTCCCGGAGCTGGAGCTGAATGTTTTGAGTAATGGTATGATAATTGCATGTGTATAATCTTGCATATCACCACCTGCCAGAGAGCTGGCTCCTTGATTCAAGTTACTGCACTGAATGGGTTGTCTGCGTGACATGGCCATGCTAAGTGTTCTCTGACACCGTTGCTTCTGACAGGCTTTTCATGTTGCGAATCTATTCGAAGAGCGACCATTGGCTTGACTGTATGTGCGAGGTACGTTAAGAAATCCAACTGTCTCAGATTGTCTCCGGTAGGTGAGCATAATCCGCAGGCTCAACATACCGCCTGCTCCCGACTCACTGGCTTACGTCGGCACATGTGCAGCATGGCGCTATTGTACGCGTACTTCTGGTCGGCAGGCTGTAGCAATTTCTCCAACTCAAATGCGACATTGTATAATTACATTCCTGCGACTAGCGCATCGTCGACTTTTGTTTTTTTCTTCAAAGTTGGCTAGATGGTAACTGATCACAGCACTACCCTCATGCGTCTTACACTGCCACCTATGTCTGGTTCACGTCGCATTAGACGACCGCATGCAACATATAATGGCAAATGTACTGAAAGCGCCACTACATCAGACGACGTACGCAGCACGCCACGAATCAGGCATGATTGCTTTCCATCGTCAGCCAGTCCATGTCCAGCTTGGCAGTGCATCGAGAGAGGGGATCAAGCAGCTAGAGGGGACGCAAGGTGCCCGGCCGGTGGTTGTTAGGGAGCAGGGCGAAGCCATCACCGCGGCGATCAGCCCGCTCACGGAGCGTGCTCACACGCTGGGTGATGCCGCAGATGTGCTGTTCATTCATACTTCGGGAGGGATGGACCGAGAAGGCGTCCGCCTGCTCCCGGTGATGTATTGGAGTCCTGCCGTCGGCCTCCCGCTGGCCGTCCTTCTTCTGACGTCGGAAGCGGAGGACATTGTCGCACGAGGCTTCGAAACTCTCCCGGGCATTGTCGCACGAGGCTTCGAAACTCTCCCGGGCATTGTCGCACGAGGCTTCGAAACTCTCCCGGGCATTCTTCCAAGCGGTAGGTGTAATCATGGTCCCCGATGGGTTCGCCGACGTGTCTTGAGTGATAAGGACACGTGGTATATCGAAATTATCTCCACAGGTAGTGATGTCACACATATACCATAAGACGCTGCGCAACGTGGGCCAAGAGAGGTTGGAACGGGCGCGACACTTGCTACTTTCTGTCACGGAGATCATTTCTGACACCAGGTATCGGGTCAGACACCTTAGACAACCCATAGCCATGGCTTTCATTATTGCGCTGGCAGATTAGCCTTTGCTAGGGGCTTAAGGGAGGCTCCCCTCAGGTGTGATGTTCCTGCGATGGGTCATAATTTATATTGCCAGCAAATCGCCGATAAATTAAATTGAATATGCACTCAAGCACCTGGCACGTATAAAGAAACAAGGCTGAAGACACAAAAGCCCACATTCCGGTTTTCAGACTGACACCCACATTCTAGGACATTAAGTCACATTTTCGATCAGTCATATGAAACGCACCTTCCACCTTGACGTGTTGTGTGAGCCCTGGGGCATCCTCATGTAGTCTTCACATCTCTCTGCGCGCTGCGCAGTTCACTTGACTATGACGGGTTGGTGAGACTGTGGCCGAAGATGCCACGTGGCTTGGAATTCAGTTCCGAATGTGATTTGCTGCCAACACCTCTTTGCATTGTGCTGAAATCGCCCTCGGTTCGGAAATGCCCGAGCGCCCGTTCCCACGCCGCTTGCCAGCTCTGCTTTCCGCTCTTGCCGTGCGTGATACGCCACAGGTCAATGTTTTTCCACAGGTGCGTCTGGCGGCCGTGGCTGCCGCGGTCCGGCTGTCATCCTCACTGACGACTCACGAAGTGAATGGAGCGCCCTGACCAGACGTGTCCACAGTCAGAAGCAGCCAGCCGCTGCTGCAGTGGTGGCACGAGCTCGCGTTCGAGGGACTGCTGTGGGTTTCAAGCGACAGGCTCAAACACAGCCCACGCAGTCTTTCAGTTAGTTCACTGTCAAACTGACGCATTGATCTCTTTGTGACCATGCAATATGCGATGTGGCTGAGAAGGGTGTGAGGCGCAGTGTTCATGTTGAGTGCTCATACCTTCACAAACTGGTGCCGCCTGCGTTCGTCAATCCTTTTGCACCCTGGCATCCTAGCTCTCCACTCACCTGGTCTGTTCGTCGCAGAGAGCAGCTTCTGTGTACGGGTAACTTGAGAGCTGTAGCCTAACCCGGCGCGGCATGCGCAGGAGTATGTGGGTAAGGCGGCGGCGGAGCGGAGTCGCCGGATGGGCCTGCAGAAGATGGTGGTGCACCTCAGCATCGACAGTGATAACGTCGACCCAATAGGCGACGAGACCGTGTACCTGCACGACAAGGTGACGTACGGTCAGACGCTGAGTCAGTCCAGACTCGACTTGAGTCCGCTCTCGAGAGCTTTTCATGCCCGGACGCGAGTGAGCTGTTCTGATTGTCAAGGGGATCTGATGCGGGTCAGTCGAACTCGCACTCCCTAATTAGTTAAAAATTGTGGATTTGGGCTTGGTTCGAAATGAGCAGCTTAAAAGACAGAATACTCGGACCGGGAGATGAGACTCAGATTTAGGACCCTTATACTCTGATTCGTACTTTGACTTAGACTTAGACTCTAATATCAAAAGTGAATGCCAACCAAAATCAGGTTCGGAGAATACACCAGCATTCCGACTGGGACCCGAGTGAAGTCATTTGACTCGGCCACTTTATTGGTAATGCGGACAGCGGGGTATGTCTGTCTGCAGTAGGGCGGTGTGTCTGTTGGCATGCCGTCTTCTATGATCAACCACCGCACATCTCGATGATCAGCCGACGATTCAACACATTGGCATTGATCAAATGTCGCACCATCAGCAAGATCAGTAAGTCGGCTGTTTTTGATTCCAACACTTTTGGCCAGTGGTGGTCAAGTTATGATTCATCACAGCCACACAGTGACCACTATGCCCACTGCAGACCTCGGCTGCCCACATCGCTGCTCTAACAACGGCAGGCTCGCAGCTGACTGTGACCAGATACTCCAACAGGCTTCAGACCAGGATATGGGATAGATGTGTGGCTGCCACGGCTGTAAATCCTGAAGATGGGGAAAGGTCGTGTTAGGCTCAGGATCCTCTGGATCGAGCTATTCAACGTTGAGGCTGTGGCACGCATTATGCATTTCAGACCAAAGCAAACACTGAATGGCCTGCTCTGGGAGACATCTCTTGCGGGGACCGCTACTGCTGACGGTGCCACCCCCCCCCCCCCTCGCTGTCGGCAGGTGGTCGGCAACACGACCTCCGGGTGCTACAGCCACAACACCGGCCAGACTCTGGCCAAGGCGTACGTGCCGCCGTACCTGGCCGTCGCCAGCACCGAGGTGCAGGTCAATGAAAGGGCGCGCGGCCCGGTGAGGTGCGATTCGTTCCAGTCCAGTGGATGCCGGTCGATGACAACGCAGCGGCTGATGGAACCGTTCAGCACCAACGTCAAACATTCCCAAGTTCAGAGGTATGGTGACAACGACCCTGGACCCTTGCTTTTCAGAAAGTAAACACGACCATATCTCGCCCGCAGTGTTATTCTAATAACGATGCGCGACCGTCCGGAAGCGCCGAACAAGTGTCCCAACGCAAATAGAAATGAGCGGTGAGCTACATATTATGACGTTTGGTGTGTCCCTACCCTCCTTCGTCGTTTCGCCACCTTACATGCAGCAGGCCCGGGCCGGCGGCGGGCTGGCCGCGCTCGCCGCTGTCGCTGCCGTCGTTGGCCGCCGTCCGTACTGATACTGCGGTGCCGCTGCGGCAGGTGGCGCTGCTGGGCGAGCGGCGGCCCGCCGTGGTGCTGCCTGGTCCTCCGCTGCTGACTCAGCCGGCCAGAGACGCGCTGAAACGCAAGGCCGCCAAGGCCAAGGCCAAGTAGAGACGGAGCCAGCCACGCGGGGATTTTTCTACTCACTGTGGTGCAATGGATATGCACTACACAAGCTCATTGTGAAATTTTGTGTAATGCCTTGGTGGGATTTGTACTGTGCAATACGAAGTGTCGGGAATATATGAGGGCCTGGTTCGACATTCCTGTGTGTTTTGTGTTTAACGCAGCCTTTTGGTCGTGAATGTTTTGAGTGTCATAGCAGACATCAATGCTATGCATCTGTAGCCACAGGCATGTGGGTTCACACCATTAGTCGAGTGATATTTTAGTTGTTCATTTATTTTGTTTATGTGATGTGGGTGTTACAACTATAGGCATACATGGATCTAGATAAGACAAGAGCGATAGCCATATTCCTTGGAGTAAAACCAGGAAAACGGAGATTAAGCTGCATTGACATTTCGGCAACATGCCTTTATCGAAACGAATTGCAGAAGTGAATTCGAAATGCCTGCCGATCATCCTACACCATTAGATCACCAGATCACCTACACTTACCTGTCTCTCCTATGCCGACTGTCTTACCTAAGTGCATAATGTTCCTCGCAAATGCACTTCACAACCTACTGTTTATGGATTGGTTAAACCCATGAGTTTTGGATTAATCCGGAGACTGAGCTGAACTGGGCAAGACAAGCCACAAACGACATACACTGAAACTGGAATGGGCACTGTATATGGAGTCCAGCAACATATCGGTAACGCAAGGAAAACATGAATGAACACTACAAAAACACCAGGGTTGTGGCCACGGCACCACTCGTGATGGATTAACAACAGTCGCATCCACACATATTTTACATGCGTCGCGTGATCGTTAGATATTCAACGTGAAAATTCCCACGTCCAACAATTAGAGAAAGTGACTTGTGTAGCCCACACACAAGAATTTGTGACCTTATTTCTCGTTAATCATGACGTGGTCAACATGATCGGACCCCCATATGTCAGAGACATGTGAGAGTCCGGGAAACACTGGCTGTAACTTGGGCGCGGAGACTTGTGAGCATCCACACCGAAAAGGTGTGATGCAGGGAAAGGGAAAATTGAGAGAACGGCTTAGTACTGTCAAGAACAACAGAGTAAGAGCTGGTACAGAAATGACATGTATCCTCCCCCAGCCGTTCTGGGCGGACGATTTCTGCCCAACATCCGTGGACTCAAGCTCCGACTGCACTCCTTTGCCTCTGCGCCCCAAATGTGATGGACTTAAGCTCCGACTGCACCCCCTGGTTTCTGCACCTCGAATGTGATGGAGCCCAAGCTGATGCATGAAACCGACCACACACCGGCTTTGCTCAACGGACGTGGCTTCGAGCCCTAGCATTATGGGAATGAGCGCCACTGCCGGGTGTTGGCCATTGTCAAGAACTGTAGGCCTTAGTGGCACACGCTGAGCCCGCCGCTGGCCGCCACAGGCGGGGCAGCGTCGGTCAGTCTGGCCACCACAGGCGGGGCAACACCGGTCAGCCTGGTCACCTCAGCCGAGGCGGCGTCCGTCAGCCTGGGTACTACAACTAAGGCAGCGTCCGTCAGCCTAGCCACCACAACTGAGGCAGCGTCCGTCAGCCTAGCCACCACAACTGAGGCAGTGCCCGTCAACCTAGCCACCGCAGGCGGAGCAGCGCCCGTCAGCCTGGCCACCACAGGCGGTGCAGCGCTCGTCAGCCTGGCCACCACAACTGAGGCAGCATCCGTCAGCCTAGCCACCACAGCCGAGGCAGCGCCCGTCAGCCTAGCCACCACAGGCGGGGCAGCGCCCGTCAACGCGTGTTCGCTGAGCGCGACGCGCGGGCAGCCAAACGCGCCGATGCTCCCTACGCCCAACTGCGTGATGCCTCAGTTTGATATAACGCAGGTTAAGTCATCCACTGTCTGATATGCGCGGGTATTAGATGTTCGATATATTGAAGAACGCTGTTAAGCCGTTCCATGGTGTACTCCTGGCACATTTTACACTGATCCGACATGTCGCAGGCCACGTTAATCAAGAAGATTTCTGATAGGCGCGGGTATTAGATGTTAGGTATATTGAAGAACGCTGTTAAACCGCTCCATGGTGTACTCCTGGCTCATTTTACATTGATCCGACATGTCGCAGGCCACATTAATCAAGAAGGTTTCTTCAAGCTCGCGTTCATAAATTCAACAGCTCAAAATGAATGTCACAGACATGCAGTGCCCCAAAAGCTCACGACTTTTGTCCGCAACCGCCAGAATGCAAGTGTGTCAAGACAGCCCACGGCACGGGTGGTAAAACTTGCCGACTTGGTGGACAAGGTCGGCCACAAAAATGCATTTTCAGCCAACGCTTGATGCCAAAAATGTTTTTGACCGACAATTTTGGTGACGGCCGCCACAAAACACTGCAGCGTGTATTTCGTAGCCTTACACGGGCTTTGATGGTTGCAAATTGCAAAACGCATGCAAGGCATGCCATGCAGCATCGCATTATTGTCCCATGGTGATTTGCAGTTCACTACTTTCTTCCAGATTCGTGATAACGGGTGGGGGGAAGAGGGGCACAGAGCTGACTAAGAGCCACTTGATGGGGGAACGCCCCTTCCCCTCGCACCTCCACGCACAAATCGCTGAATTCGGCTTAACTGTTTTCCACCGGATCCATTTGGTTTGTTTTATTTTGTATTTATATTTCCTTCACTGTTACGGGACCTGGAGCACCTACAGGAAAGCATAATTGTCTGTATTTTATTGAGGACAACAATTGATAACACAGTTGTAATTGCCTCATTCCTCTCAGAAAAAAAACAGGAGAATGAAGACATAGATCGGTTGATGTTTCGGAAACATGACCTCATCGAAACAATAGCAGAAGTCTTCAGCTATTGTTTCGATAAAAGCATGTTGCCGAAATATGAGCCACCTTTATCTCCATTCTCCTGCTTTTTTCTCCGAGGAATAAGGCTATTAGTGCCGTATTATCTACGTGAATGATGTTCCTCGCAAATGCACTGAATAACTTACGTGAAGACAAAACGTAACAAAAGAAGGGGTGTTGGGTGACATCAAGAAATAACGCACCGGTGCATTTCATTTTGCGATGGCTAGGTTGGTTCTTTCCAAAGAGATAAACCTCGGAGAATTTGTTGTTGTTGTTTTTTTTTTGTTTTTTTTGGGGGGGGTTCTACGGAGATATAAGGACCCCGTGCACGTTGACTGCGGATTGAAATAGGGTCAGCGAGTTACATGAGGTTGGCTAACCCATGTCCGCCTGGGTATGCTCAACGCTCTGTCAGAACCGATTAGTGATAAAACTTATGTAGCATGGTGATGGACATGCGCACTGCGAGTCTGAGCAGCCTAATCCAATGCAGCGATTTTATCTTTTCGTGCGGGAAAGAAAACCTCATGCAATTCACAAACACAGACTCCCATTGACACTGCCTACCATACTGGGCGTCACACATCCTGAGCTCTTGACGCTGCTCTTCGAATACCTATACAAAACCAATTTAGATAATTACATATAACAACGTCAGTGTTGCGAGGTTTTCAACAGCTCAATTGCCAGCGAGCAGGATTTTCTCATTGCCGTGAGGTTTTTTCCACGCACAATTCGGCCAAAACGTGCTGGTTTTCCTCATTTGCAAGGGTTTTTTTCCAAACATAATTCGGCGTACACGTGCTGGTTTTTCCCCATGGGCTTAGGAATCGGGTTTTTGTAGTTGTGACTTTTCCCAGATTACACTATACAGCACGACAAGGTCGCATCGGGCCGCTCTCCCCATTCAGTGTGGGGGGAGCGACCCGGTTCAGGTCGCTGACGGACACGACCGCCGTGCCGGGGGCCCGCCGTTTACCGTAGGGGGAAACCTTTGCTGCGATGGGGTGGTCGTCCGTTATCCAGACGTATGGTGATTGTTGAATACAGTGAATGTGTGCGTGTCTCGTGTTTTACTTTGCATTTGTTGCCGGACGAAATTAGCCGGTTTAACGTAGTATCGAGTGCGTTTTCTTGCATTCATACCGGACAGCATTAACCGGTTTAACGCAACGTAGCTTACCCCTGCCCTTTCCTTTGCGCCGGATGGCACAAGCCGGCTTAACGTAGCTTTTTGCCTCGCCTTAAGCCAGAAATAAGTTACCTCAGCCCCGGCTATGACTTTAGGTCGCCAGGGGAAAAAAGAAAAAGATGCGGTTGATGTATCCTCGCCCAGAGTTTCGATGCGGCAAGCGTTCCGCTGCGGTCTCCATTTCAGTGGTCGTGTTAGGTTACTTCCGGTGGTCCTAGGGTTTTGAAATTGACATGGAAATTGACATGCAACAACTCCTGAACTCGAAACAAAATGATGCTTACTAAAACATTTTAGGAGTAAGACCACTGGAAGTCATCTCTGGAAAAGGCGTACTTGTTTTACGTAATATTCCCCTGGGTAAGGAAGACGGACTTTTGGGATGTCAAATAACTCTGTAGGTAAAGCGCAGAAATGCCGGAGAACCTTGATAAGGCCCTCACTCAAAATTTTTTTGAGCGAAACCGGCAAACCGATACCGATGTGAGGTGTACGTACGTTTATGCCTATGCAACCTGCGTTTTGAAGGCAGTTCGGTACCTTGACTGAGGTAAGTGTTGTGACAATGCTTCCCAGCTGATATACTCGCGGTACAAATATGGGGGTGTGAGACGCCAAACCGAGCTCTTCGTTGTCAGTAAATTTGGAATCCTTGAAGGTGGGGGAAGTTGTAACCCAAAGCTTCGCTTTTGCATAATGTTACAGGAAACATTTTGTACGGTTTTAAGACATGTAGACGTCTGTGCGGAAAGAACCTGACGTTTAAAGACACAAGCTGACTTGTAAAGCCCTCTAGTACATGACGTTGAAAATCTGTCAATGGCTTTTTGAAACAGTTTACCTGGAAAGTATCACAAATAATCATATGCGGTAAGTTTTCTCTTCTCTCTTTAATTCCCTACTCTTGGATCTCCACAAATCTGTTCCTGGTGACATCGCTAGTGATTTCATGCATATACCAATTTTGCCTGTACTATGAAAAATATCGTGAAAAAGCCGTGTGCATGCAGCTGTCGTCCAAGCTCGGTACCCATGGCATTTTAGCTACATCACAGTACTATTAAAGACCTTATCACTCGACAGAAGACACTGATCGACCC